ACAATTCTACTCTGTGCTATAGGGTCGCTAGGAGTTGGAATCAACTCGACAGCAATGAGTTATAGAGTTAGGGGGAGTTTGGCCTGAGCACACGAGCAGTAGGAAGAAAACAGGTAAAGTTATGGATTCTGAGAACAGGTCAAGCAGTCTCGTCAGGCAAAGGTGTACCCACAAGTATAGTCATATTGCACAGGTAGGGGCTGAAGTTCAGGATCCAAATGAGAAGAGACGCTACTGGCAGATCCATGGGGTCAGGCACAGGGCGTTCAGGGCAGGTGTTGGGCTGAAGTGCAGATGGAACACGACCCCAGGACAGGAGTGCCTAGCCTCTGCCTTGGTTTGGGTGAATCGATGTTGGCAGATATTTGTCTAATCTCCAGAGTGAGAGGCCATGAGCATGTGACCAGTATTGCTCCAGAGCCAGAGAACTGAGCTCTTCCGGAGGCCCGGCCAGCTGTAGTGCCTTCATCCATCAGCTCTACACTCTGCTGTGTCTAATAAACTTGGCTTAGTGCTGGGAAAACACAAAGAAGCACCAAGCTCAACCTGTAGCTCTTGCCCTCAGAACATAGCCTAGTTATGGCAGTATGACCTAAACATGTAAAAAGTTGAAGGACACGAAAGACAAATAATTCAGTTCAACAATTCAAGAGATTTTATAAGGCAGAAACAGTTTGTGGGCAAATGGATGGCCACGTAGTAGACACCGTAAGTGCCATAGGAATGGGGAGTTGGGAGTGACCAGTGTGAGCTGGAGTGCTCTGGTAAGAGGGGGGATCTGAATGAGGTAAGTGGAAGAAGTGGTGAAGACATGCCAGATGGGGAGATGGTGAGTATGGAGGTGGGAAGTGTGAGAGACTTTCTAGAAACAATGAGTAGGCCAGCTTAATTACAGTTGAGGGTTCCAGAAGGTGAATAGTTGGAGATGAAGCCAATGAGGTAAGTTGGAATCAAAATGGGAAGGTATTAGGGAGTCCTCAACTTTATCTTCTAGACACCAGCAGTCATTGGAAGTTTTTGGACAGAGAGGGGAAGTGCCCAGAGAAGTTTTAAGAAGGTTAATCTGTGGTTGAATACAAGCAGATTAGAGGGAGAAAGAGTGCTTAGGTCGACCAAATGTCTGTATTTGCTCTAGCCTATTAGAAAGTGGTAATTGCTTCAGGAATGGAAGTGGCCAGAAGAACAAAAATAAAATGGTGGATGCAAGAGATGTTTTGAAGGAAGGGGGTATTAATAAGACTTAGCACCTTCTTATCCATGGAGGCAAAGAAGAATCAAAGGTAAATCCATGGTTTGGGAACCAGGTAACTAGAAGAATATTTTGTGACCACAAGTGAGAATGTTAGGATGGAGGGTGAGATGGCTAGATTTTTGGGAAGAGATGGAGTCCAGCTTTGGAAGCTAGTGTTTGCTGTTGTGGCAGGAGGCAGAAACAGAGAACTGGAAGGTATGAGGAAGAGCCTGGCTTGTGATGAACGTGTGGGAGTGGCTTGCACAGAGGTGACAGCTTAAACTGCCTGAATGGCTGATGCCTTCCAGAGAGGGCAGCCACAGCGCTGGGAATGCCCACGTGTTAACAGAGGAAGAGAGAGCCGGGTCGCCAGAGCACGTGCTGTCAGACAGTGACGGGGGAGCTCCAGACTCACATGGACCTAGAGAGGCCCATCAAGAGGGAAGTTGTGGTCAGCAGTATCAAATGCTGCAGAGAGGTCCAGGAGAATAGGGGCTGGGTAAAGGCCATTGGATTCGGCAATTAGGAAGTCATTGACCTTTAACCCTTTCGTGCGTGGCAGTACATATAGCGACCATGAACTCTTTCAGCCTCTGGGGTTGATTGGGAAGCTGCTGTCCCACTGACTGTGTGCCACCGCAAGGCAGGGGCCTTTGTGACTGAAACCAAAGAAACAGGCATGTGCCACAAATTGCTGTTTTTACAGGGTATCGTGTGAGGGCTCTGAAGTTTTGGTAGAAAAAATAGAAATTTTGAAAATGTTTATTTGTTACACATATGTACCAGTAGACCTTGGTGGGCCCTGTGGGGTATAATTCGTGGTTCTTCATATGTACCACGAAACACTTAGGGTAGGCTTGTGGGAGGGGGCAACAACAGCAACAAAATCTATACTACCTACCAAAAATTCAGACACACTCAATGATTTAGCATGCTTCCATTCATGAAAACACGTGGTGTCAACAAAAAATTCAAAGCAGAAAACAGGTTACCAAAGGGTTTAGAAAGAAGCCTGGATGGCGCAAGGGGTTTGCGTCTGCTGCTAACCTAAAGGTTGGTGGTTCGAACCTACCCAGCGGCTCCATGGAAGAAAGACCTGGCAATCTGCTTCTGTAAAGATGACAGCCAAGAAACCCCTGTGGTGCAGTTCTACTCTGTAACACATAAGTCAGAATCGAGTCGATGGCAGTGGGTTTGGTTTTACCTTTAAGAACCCAGCCCTGTAGTGTGCGTGTATGTGGGTGAGGGGAGGGGTTGATTCAGGAGCAAGCATTGAAAAAGAGGGAGCGGAAACCATCAATCAGAGGTGAGAAGAAGGTAAAAGTTAAGAGAGGGGAACATGGTTGTTACTCTTGCCGTCCAGGTTGGGAGTTTGTGCGGGCACACACATGTGAAGGCAGAAGACGATTAAGTCACTGGTTGATTCACTAAAAATGTTTTAGGTACCTACTGTATGGTTGCTAAATCAGAATTGACTTGATGGCAACACACTTGGCTGCTAACTGAAAAGTTGGTGGTTCAAGGCCACCCGGAGGCACCTCAGAAGAAAGTCCTGGTGATCTACTTCTAAAAAAGCAGCCACTGAAAACCTGTGGATCACAGTTCTACTCTGACACACATGGAATCGCCATGAGTCAGAGTCAACTCAACGGTAGCTTGTTTGGTTATTTTGTTTGTTTGTTTAAGGACTTAGATCCAGTTAACAGGGAGAGATTGAAAGCTGTAAGCGACAGGGTAGTGAGTGAAGCGGGTTTCTAGAGAAAGTGGAAAGGATGGAGCAGGAGAACAGTGGAACTCTTAGTGGTGAAAAGTTTGGAGAGTTTGGTAAGCAGGAAGAGAGGTTGGAGGGGCGACCCAGAAACGTTTGGGAAATGAAGAAAGAACCAAGGTAGAAAGCACAGCTGCTGACTTCAGGCTTCCGGGCACAGGAAGAGGCGGGTGGTCTCTGAGGGAGGGTGGGCTAGGGTGATGGGAGGTCAGGGAGACAAACACTAGATAGCTCAACACCAGCAGTGACATCTCTGCTTGACCGAAACCCCACTGTCCTTGTGCTTCTTGAAAATCCAAACCAGTTACCGTCGAGTAGACCCCAACTCATGGCGCCCGCCCCCATGTGTGTTGGAGTAAAACTGCTCCGTAGGGTTTTCAGTGGCTGACTTTTTTCAGGTGTTCACTGACAGTGGCTTAGAAGATGGGGAGTGTTTGTTTCTACTTTGATCTGTACAGACTTATCCTTCCTCATCAGCTTATTATTTTTTCCTTAATACATTTTCTGTGAGTTTTGGTTTGTTTCCAGCATCACCATAATTATAAGTTGTATAACCATTCCAGGTTAATGGCCTTATAGATTTCTGAGGCTATCAAAATTGTGGATGAGTTGTTGGTGTGAAAGAATAGTACTTTCTAGAGAAATTTATTGGGATTTGAATTTAGCAGAAAAATCGAGTGAACATAGCCCATGAATTGTGCTACCCACGTCCCCCCTCCCCCCCCACACACAAAAGACTGATAGAATGTTTAAACCAGAAAACCAAACCCATTGCTGCCAAGTCAATTCTGACTCATAGTGACCCTACAGGACAGAGTACAAATGCCCCATAGGGTTTCTGAGTCTATAATCTTTACGGAAGCAGACTACCACATCTTTCTCCTGCAGAGTGGCTGGTGCGTTCAAACCACTGACCTTTGGGTTAGCAGCTGAGCACTTAACCACTGCACCACAGGGGCTCCTTGATGGAATGTTTTAGATGGTCTCAACGAGACAGACCATGTGCTGGTCCGCTCAACCCTACAGGAGTCATTTAAGGTGCCTAAGAGGGCAGGGGGTAGTTATGGTCCATCCAGAAGCCAGCGGGTTGTGAGTGGCTGCATGACCGGGTTTGATAGGAACAGGTTTCTTCAAGCAAGTGAAACTGACAGTTGTGGTCTGGGACACAGCAGAGCTGACCGTGTGGGGTGACTAAGAACACAGCAGTTAGCCAGGCCAGCTGATAGGGTCTTCAGTTACAGTAGGATGCAACACAGTGAGAACTAAGGAAGAATCAGTGTCTGTTATAAACTAATAGTCATCAAAAAGTAAATGGTGAGCACCCAAGATGTCCTTCAGTCAGTGAATGTATAAACAGACTGTGATGCATCCATACAATGGAGCATTAGTCAGTGATACAAAGAAATGAGCTATCAAGCTACGAAAAGACATGGAGGAACCTTATGCTAAGTGAGAGAAGCCAGTCTGAAAAGGCTACATACTGTGTGATTTCAACTAGATGATTTTGGGAAAAGAAAAACTATAGATACCAGTGGTTGCCAGGGGTTTGGGGTAGGGGAGGGATGAATACGTGGAGCCCAGGGTATTTTAAGGCCAGTGAAGCTATTCTGCCCGATGCTGTAATGGCGGACACAGGCCACCACACATTTGTCAAAACCCATAGAACTGTCCAACACAAGAGTGAACCCTGATGTGAACTATGGGCTTTAGTTAGCAACAGTGTATCAGTATTGGTTCAGCACTTGTAACAAATGTACCACAGGAGTGCACAAGGTCAATAATAGGAGAAACTATGTGTGGGGAGGAAAGGGGATATATGGGAACTCTGTCCTTTCTGCACAGTTTCTCTGTAAACCTCGAGCTGCTCTAAAAACTAAAGTCTATTTAAAAAAAAAAAAGTCAGTGATGAACTAAATCCTGATATTCTGTCTCTGAATCTCAGCCGTATTCCTGGCTCTGCTCCCTCCTGATGGTAGCGGGTGGACACTGGAGCCACGTGGTCCCACGGACGGAGTGACCACCTGTGCTTCTGCGTGAAGTAGATTTGCTCTCCCAAACCTATTTTTAAGTGGGAGGAGAATATTCTCTAAGGCCAGACTGCTGAGCAGAGCTGAGATGGATCTGTGGAGCAGTGCCCACATTGGTGACTTTGAGGAAGCTGATGTTTCCCTTTCCTTTTCTTGTAGGTATGGCCTCACGTGTGCAAGTTTTCTCCCCTCCCACCCTTCAATCAAGTGCCTTCTGCAGTGTGAAGAAACTGAAAGTCGAGCCTAGCTCCAACTGGGACATGACTGGGTACGGCTCTCTCAGCAAAGCCTACAGCCAGAGCAAGAACGTACCGCCATCGCAGCCAGCTACCGCAACCGTCAGCACCTCCTTGCCCATCCCAAACCCCAGCCTACCTTACGAGCAGACCGTCATCTTCCCAGGCAGCACCGGGCACATTGTCGTAACATCAGCAAGCAGCACTTCTGTCAGCGGACAGGTCCTCGGGGGACCGCACAACCTGATGCGTCGAAGCACTGTGAGCCTTCTCGATACCTACCAGAAATGCGGGCTCAAGCGTAAAAGCGAGGAGATCGAGAACACGAGCAGCGTGCAGATCATCGAAGAGCACCCACCCATGATTCAGAATAATGCCAGCGGGGCCACCGTAGCCACTGCCACAACATCGACTGCCACCTCCAAAAACAGCGGCTCCAACAGTGAGGGTGATTACCAGCTGGTCCAGCATGAGGTGCTGTGCTCGATGACCAACACGTACGAGGTGCTCGAGTTTCTGGGCCGAGGGACGTTTGGGCAAGTGGTCAAGTGCTGGAAGCGGGGTACCAACGAGATCGTGGCCATCAAGATCCTGAAGAACCACCCGTCCTACGCCCGGCAGGGCCAGATCGAAGTCAGCATCCTGGCCCGCCTGAGCACCGAGAGCGCGGACGACTACAACTTTGTCCGGGCTTACGAGTGCTTCCAGCACAAGAACCACACGTGCCTGGTGTTTGAAATGCTGGAGCAGAACCTCTATGACTTTCTGAAGCAGAACAAGTTCAGCCCCTTGCCCCTCAAGTACATTCGCCCCGTCCTCCAGCAGGTTGCCACAGCCCTGATGAAGCTAAAGAGTCTGGGTCTCATCCATGCGGACCTCAAACCGGAGAACATCATGCTGGTGGATCCATCCAGACAGCCCTACAGGGTCAAGGTCATCGACTTCGGCTCCGCCAGTCACGTGTCCAAGGCCGTGTGTTCTACCTACCTGCAGTCTAGATATTACAGGTAAGGCCATCCGCGCTGAGATAGCCAGGAGAGGCTGATCACTGATGGCATTCACCGCAAATGTGCATGGTGGTCGCTGCGGGCGAGATGAAAGTGTGTGCCTACAGTTGCTGTCTCAGCTGATGTTAACTGGGGGACTAAGACTTGTGCGTGGAAGTGACATTTAGGAGCCAGATGAGAATGGAGCCTAGTGAGAGGCTTGGTGCAGATGTTCAGAGCTGGCAGTGATGGCTGAGTCCTGCTAGGGGGGCAGGTCTTCGTGGAGGCGGGGTGGGTATGGGGTCCACGTGATAGAGGAGAGATGGGCCTGCATGACTGAAGTCAGGGCCGGACATGAGAGAATACTGCCTGCCAGAGCAAAGGACTTGTGAGTGGTGGGAGGTGTGGTTGGAAGCATAGATAGGGAGCAGATTACTAGAGGTCTTAAATACCAGGCTAAGGAGGTGGAAACACATCCTTGACAGCTGAGCACGTGCGGGAGGCTTTTACAGTGTGGTGTTTTGTGAAGATTGTTGACGTCATGTGAAAGATGGATGGAAGAAGGGAGAATCTTTGGCCTGGGAGGCCACTCAGCTTACTCTGTGGGAGATCACTTTGAATTTGAGTCAGGGTGATGGAAGAATTGTAGCGCCATTGTAAGGACATGTAAAGTATTCATTTGCCCATTCAACACATGTTTATTTCGCTCCTGATGTGTGCCAGGCCAGCGCTAGGGGCAGGGATGCAGCCACGATAGGATGGAAGCAAGCCCCCCTGCCTTTGAGGACCTCTCAGATGCTGGCCCGGCTCTGGAGCCACGAAGTCCTGGGCTGGAGCCTGAGTCCCTCCCTCACCAGCTGTGTGATGTAGGCAAAGCACATAGCTTCTGTGAGCTTGCGTTTCCTGACCCGTGACCTGGGAAGAGCCCCACCGCCCAGTCCGTGGGGTTGGTGGGTGGTGGAGGACAGTGACGCAGCCGCAGCGCTCTGCTTGGCACGCAGCACCTGCAGGCCTGCCGTGGTTTGTGGGGAGAGCTGGGGGTGGGGGAGGTAACATCGGACAGCCGAGTGGGAATGGAAGTGGACAAGAAACAAGCTCCCGGAAGATAGGCCTGATCCACGCTTAAGGGGTTAGCACATGGGCAATAAAACCACAATCCCGGTGCTCACTGGGGTCCTGGCCCTTCTGCGAGACCTGCCCCGATTGTGGGCGGGCCATCTCCACACGGCCTTGGGCCACAGGGCCTGTTGGGCATCGAGTGAGAGCCCCGTGGATGCACCTACCTGCGGCCGGTCTGCAGCTGGCCTCGTACGGCCCTCCACTTGCTTTCCTCGTTTCCTGCTTCCCCCTCCCCACCCCATGGCCCCCAGCCAGGCACCACCCGCCCCCCACACCAGACTGCTGTGACCTCCGCACCCTCTGAGTGTCTCAGCAGGGTTTCCCACCTCTTCTCTCAGCCTCGGGGGGGGGGCTCAGCAGACAGCCTCCGTTCTCCTCCCTGGGAGCTCTGTGGCCACATGATCCAGCTCCCCAGGTCCCTGCCCCATGTCCCTCCATCCCTCTACCTGTGTGGTTTCTCCTTGCCCATCGCCTTTCTGGGCAGGTAATTCCTGAGTGATGCCAGCTCCAGTCTGACTGCTCCCCTCACTAAATTCAGAGGCCCACACACCCCCATCTAGGAGGTCTTTACCTGGCTGCCCAGCTTGGGGTGGCCTCCTGCTGCCTTGGTTTCCCCCCACTCGCTCCCTTCCTGGCTTTGCAGCTGTGTCTGTCCCTGCTGCCCTAAGGGACTGCCCAGTGGGCCCTGGAGCAGGTGCTGCTCATCCCGGCTGCTCTGGGAAGGAAGGGAGGCAGGAGCTGGGTGCAGCCCCTGAAACGGGAAACTTGGTCCACCTGTATACCAGGCGGAGGGGGTTGGAGAAGAGTCTGGGTGACTGACAGATGTATGCCCAATGAGGCCAGCAGGCGTCCAGAGCCCACTTTGTGCAAGCGCCTGGCCCTTCTGTGACCCAGCTTTGTCCAGCTCCGGGTCCCCAGGAGCTGCCACTGCAGTTGTAGATTAAGTTTTGCACATTCAGCGCATGGGTTCTGGCTGCGTGAGGTGCTGAGGGGCCGCCACTGCCCTTCTCCTGGATCACTGTGTGGGAACATAGAGCAGCACTTCTAGTAACATTCACTGAGAATGAAGCGTGGGGACTCGTTAAAAAGACTTTTAAAGGCCGTATTTAGAAGGCAGGGGCACTGGTGGCGCGATGGGTAAGCACTCAGCTGCTAACTGAAAGGTCGGCAGCTTGAACCCACCAGCTGCTCCACAGGAGAAAGATGCGGCAGTCTGCTTCCGTAAAGATTACAGCCTTGGAAACCCTATGGGGCAGTTCTGCTCTGTCCTATAGGGTCTCTGAGTCAGAATTGACTCGACGGCCATGAGGTTTTTTCTTTCTTTCTTTTTTTGGTTTATTTAAAAGAGTGCGAGCTAAGGGCAAGATTTAAGGAGTCGAGTGAGCGGGTTTAATTTGGGAGTCTCCAGCCCTTTCGCATCCTCACCTTCTCAAGCCCACGTGACTCACCCGCCCCTCCCCCGACAGATGCAGCAGTGCGTCCACCTGCGTTGAGTCTGCCCTGATGCTGGGGGGGGGTCAGGTCCCAGAACCGGGGACCAGGGGCAGTGGACGTCTGTAAAGGGAGCTGGGAGGAGGACGTGGGCCCTCTCCCTGCCAGCCTCTGCTGACAAGGTGGAGCCTTTTGGAAAGCCTCGGGCGGGGCTTGGGGCTTGTTTTATGGCAGCCCGCTTCACAAGAGGCCCCCAACTCCCTCTGAAGGCCCCTTTGTCTGTGATGTCACCCCATCTTTAGCTTGCAGTTGACTGCTGCCTACAGTTCGGAGCAGGGTAGCCTCTTCCCCTCCGTGGCCGCTCTGTCCAGAAGGGCCAGCGCCCCCAGGCCCCCTGCCGCCCAGCCCCAGTCTCGAGGGCACGGCCAGTTCAGTGTCCACCCATCCCCGCCTCATGGGGCCCTGGAGGCGTTTGCTCCCCAGCATATCAGTAGCATTTCCGAGGGCAGTCTTGAGCTTCCAGTCTCCTTCAGTCCTAGCTGTGGGGCGGCCAAGGCCAGGCCACGGTGCTCAGGCTCGTTTTCTCAGCTGCTTTGCCTTGGGAGGGCAAGCAGGCCCTCCGTGTGTCCCTTGTCGAGCCCCTGGGAAAGCAGGGAGAGGCTTCAGCTGCATCTGAGAGCGTGTCACTGGAGCTGCGTCGGGGAGACATCATCCACGTGGGATTGGCCTCTGACAGGGCCGTCAGGCACCCCGGTCCTACCAGATCTGTTTCCCACCAAGCTCCCCTGGACCTAGGAGTCCCTGGGTGGTGCAGACGGCTAACGCACTCAGCTGCTGACCAAGAAGGTGGAGGTTCACGTCCACCCAGAGGCACCTTGGAAGAAAGCCTTGGCAGTCTACTTCCGACAAATCAGCCACTGAAAACCCCACACAACACAGGTCTGCTCTGATGTTCGTGGGGTCGCCATCTGAGATGGGCACATGTCCAGCCCCTGGCATGTTATGGCTCGCCCCGGCATCTTCCTGGCCTAGTGACACGGAACAGCATTTTATAGAGATGCTGGGGGCCTGGACAAGTAGGCTGTGTGGCAGGGAAGGGACTGTTCTCCCGGCTATTGGGCCTTTCCGTGGCCTTGGTGAGGGCTTATTGCTGTTGGGATCCTGTGAGGCTAGTCTTGTTTGTGTGTTTTTTTCTATAAACAAAGGCTGCTTTTTTTTTTTCCTTTAAGGCTTTTTAAAGTCTGGTGCCTGGGTCTCCCCTTCAGTCAAGGCCCTTTGCATAGTTACCCTGTCATCTGCAGTGGTTCTCAAGCTTTGCTCTGCCCCCAGGGTCACCTGGAGAGCTTGTTAAGGACCAGATAGATCTCTGCAGGCAAGTGCCCCAGCCCAGAGACCCTTCAGGGATGGCAGGGGAGAGGTGCAGGGTCTTAGACCACCCCTAGAGACACACCCCTCCAGGGAGAATGGACTTCCTCCAGGTGCCACCTTTCTGTCCTTACACCCAAGGACAGAGTTGCAGGTAATCCCTTTATTGTATTACCTCACCTTTGGAGTCCCTCCCACTTCCTTACTTAATTCCACGTGGATGCCAGTTCTTTTTTTTTTAATCATACTTTTGAGCAAGCAGTAAATTGGTGCTAGGGCATTTCCTCTATCAGCATGACCAGAAAACTAAAAAACAAGGTCAAGTGTTAAACTCTCTTCTCAGAAAGAAAAGGGAAAAAGACATGTTGTTCAGGCAAAGGACAGTCAGTGATTAAATATGCAGGGTTTTGTTTCTCTTCTGAGTGATTCAAAATACTCTCGTCTAGAATTAATTTGAGAGCCTTGGCAGCACGGTAGTTAAGAGCTACGGCTGCTAACCAAAAGTTCAGCAGTTCAAATCCACCAGCGGCTCCTTGGAAACCCTATGGGGCAGTTCTACTCTGTCCTGTAGGGTCGCTGTGAGTTGGAATCAACTCAACGGCAACGGGTTTGGGGCTTAGACTTAATTTGAGGCACTTAAGACCATTATTGAGAGTCCCTGGGTGGTGGAAACATATAATGCACTTACCTATTAATTGAAAGATTGGAGGTTTGAGTCCACCCGGGGTGCCTCAGAAGAAAGGCCTGGTGATCTCCTTCCAAAAAATCAGCTGTTGGAAACCGTGTGGAGCACTGTTCTACTCTTGACACATGAGGTCACCAGGAGTCAGAAACAACTCAACAGCAACTGGTTAGCTGATCAGCTATAGAGGAAGAGCCGAATGGAGGAATCTTAAGGTCAGTCGTACAGTGGGGAGGCTGGGGCCGTGGAGATGGGAATAAGTCAGGGAAGATGAGGACGATGACAGTAACACGGTGAGGGGCGGGAGCCTAGGTTAGAAAAGAATGATGAGGGGAGTGAGTTTTGAATGTGGATCTGGGGGGCTTGGATGGAATCTGGATGCCAGTGTCGGGAGCCTTTGTAAACTCTTGCACAAAGGAGGAAT